GGAACTGTACCATTTGGGGATAATTGGTGTGACATTGTTTACATGCAAGGCAAGTGTGGAGGTCTTGGTGTAGGGACTTGAAGTGAAGCTTGTCGTGGAGGGTGAGAGGAATGAGTGGTTCAATCTCTGAAGTATCTGATGAGGAGGACAAAGGAAGATACAAAGGTGAAAAGGCTGTGATGTTCCCTTTTGTCTTCTGCAGCCAAAGTAGGAAAGAAGTGGTCATTTGACATAAGGTGCCACAGGGTAAGCACTTAACCTCAAGGTCAGTTTGAATCACAAGGTTGTTGGGCATTCAAGCTCACCAGCCACTCCTCAGAAACCCAATACAGGGTCGCTGTGAGTTGGAACCAACTCGATGGCACTTAACAATAGCAAAAAGCCTGCACCAAAGTCCCTTCAGGTGAACTGAATATCCCCCTGAATGTAGATGTGGAGACTGATGTACAGAGATCACTCAGCGGGGAAGTGACACACCCAAAATTCGGACCAGAACGTTTAAATTGCTAAGCATACATCCCCCTGCAGGGCTCCCCGTGGCCAGTTCCCCAAATTCTGTCTGGCGTCTTCAAGTGTCATTTGATGTCTTACCTGTTACGTTTTTGTTGTATTTGCCTTTTTTGTTCGGAACAGATAAAAAGTAATGAACCTTTGATCAACGTGCTTTACAAAGTGCTGAAGAAGTCAGCACGGGGCTGTCGGCCCAGGAGAAGCGTAAGATGATCTGATCTGTGTCTCCAAGCTCGGCATTCCATTGCTTCTGGCTCAGTACCGAATCCATCACTTGCTTAACCAGGGGCTCTCCCGATCGCCCCCAGGCTTCCTGCAAGTCATTTTGGTTTATTTTCTTTGTATTGAAGCACTCTTCAGCATTTTGGCTGGTGCACCAGGCTGAGCCTCTCATCTGTGGTGTTCTGTGACTCCATCTTTTGTGCTGCCAAGGGGTGGGGGCGCTTGCCTGGCTTATCACCAGCTTGGGTCATGTTTCCATTCTCTCCTGTCTGCCCCCCTGTGGTGAGGGCTGACAGACGGAGACCAGCGTGGTTGAGCATGCGTATCCTGGCGGGAGGGGGAAACATCAGTCACTGGTCCCTACAGAGGAGTCAGGGTATCCTCAGGTTGACTCTGGCACTAGGATCTAGGTGACTCTGCTTTGGGTTAGGGTCTAGATGGTCTGGAGCCTAGCCCCTTTAATTGATATGTGTAACCAGCTCTTGTAACATCCATGAGAATCTGCAGGTGGGAAGCAGGTGCTGTATCCAGCCATTTGAGGCTCAGGAAGGTGTCTTGGGGTGTGGTAGAGGTGAGATAAGATGGACTTTGGCTCCTTTCTGAAGGCAGAGACTCTTTCAAAGGACTGAGTGCCTCTTTGACCTTATTTTTTTTTTTTTTTTGGTCATGGAGATACTGAGGAAACATGAATGGATATTTCAAATGTACTTAAACATTTTTATCATAGTGTTCCTGGTATGGCACTGTTGGTTCATGTGCTGGACCAAAAGGTCAGCGGTTCATAGTCACTAGCTGTTCCTTGGAAAAACCCTATACAGGGTCACTATGAGTTGGAACCAACTTTACAGCAGTTAACAACAACAACATCACAAAGCTCAATTTTTCAGAGGAATATTAGATGTAATATTAACTCTTTGTGGGTAAAATATTTCTTCGTCGCTTGGTTCTCTCAAACCAGAGCTAAATTCAGAAGCTTTAAGGGCCTCTGAGTTGTGTAAACAGTGATCACAAAACCATGCTCTTCAGCCATCATCTTTTTCATCCATAGAAAGAGTCTTGGTTAGCCTCTTAGCAGAGCTAGTTCACCATACTTGAGACACTCAATGACACACTGAGCAAATACCGGAATATCCTCAGGCCAGTTGGGCCTTGGCGTGCTTTGAGGGTACAGAGAAAACACACCACAGTCCTTATAGCCAGCCCTGCTTAGATTACTCTGTAATGTGAATAATTACTCTGGAGAGACAGACGAGCTAACAGAGAATTCTAATCTAATGTGCCAAGTTCCTCAGTGGTGTTAGGTACAAAATGTGGGAGGAACAACTTTGAAAGCAACCAAACCCAGTTAAAGGCAGGGGACATAAGGAAAAGCCACATGTCACCTCTATTGAGTTTTGAATTCTAACTTACTCATTTGAATTCTAGCACGTTGACAGTGGACAAGAGAAAGTTACATCTTAGAAGAGAGGGCGTGCTAGTGTCTCAAGAATGAACCAAAACAATATGAGGGGCCTTTAAACAGTTCATAGAAAAAAAATGCAGTACCTTTTTATTCCCTTTTTCCCCCCACAGACATTTTGAACCCCCCACATATATGTTAGTCTAAAACAAAATAAACGTCCTGGTGTGGCGCTGTGGGTTTATACACTGGACTGCAGAGTCACTGTGAACCACAAGGTCGGCAGTTCAAGCTCACCAGCTGCTCCTTGGAAACCCTATACAGGGTTGCTATGGGTCGGAATCGACTCGCTGACACTTAGCAGCAACAACATATGTTAATCTAAAGCAAAAATGAAAGCACAGAAATGTGGGAGGATTTAATAAAAGTTCAAATAGTCTTAAACTCTACCTTTTAAGAGATTCTGGATTACAGATTTTCATAATGGCTCTGATTCATTTAAAAAAAGGCTGAATTTTTATTTGGTATTTTATGAATGCCGGGAAAGATTTAATTTTAGAAAGCTTTTCATCAACAAGTTTCATTTAAAAGTTTTTACTTTCTCAATATGCCCTTTTGTTTGTCGAATACCCCATTTCTTTCCTTGAGATTCCTGGATAAATGAGGCATTGCTCAGTTAGGTTCTCTGCCTTGAATTTAAGTGTCAATGAGATCATCTGTAAAAAGCTTCAGTGAAATACAGTGAAGGGTTTTTGCTGAGGAGAAAAACTCCCCAAAGCATATTTCAATTTGAAAATGATTTCTACCTGGGAAATGAGCCAAGGGTCAGGCCATTTGGAGAAGAGACAAGCTCATTGTGACACAATAAAGGCCTCATGACCTTCCCCAGCATTCCCCCCATGTTCTCCTGGGGTTAAAAAGCCAAGTCATGCTGGGACACTCTCACTGGGAAGATCTGGCAATCTGTTCCCACAAAGTTTGCAGCCTAAAAGCCCTTTGGGGGCAGCTCTGCTCTGTCAGTCACCTGGGGGTCACTAGGAGTCAAAATTGACTCTGTGACACCCAACAACAACAAGATTAATTCCACCTCCTGCTCTACCCGATCCCCGCCTTGGCACAAGGCAGCGCAGTCTGTTTGTTTGTGGGTTGTTACATTGGTCCATGTGTTCTGTGACAGTGTGTATACATGTTTGTACACAGAATCTGCCTGTTTGAAGAGCAGAATTTGGCTGGAGTTCTGCTGTTTTCAGAAATCTTCAGCATTGACCTGTGTGTGTTTCCTTTGAACAAGCATTTGCTGAGTGCCTTCCTATGTGCCAGGCCTTATGTTGGGGGACTGGCTTTCCCAAGAGAGATAAGACAGTGACCCTGGCCTCTGCTGGGGAGTGTGAGGGTGAGTGGGGCTGGGTCATCCTCACTTGACCTTGACCTTTGGATTTGCTGATGAGGATTCTAGGGAAGAGGAATATAAAACAGTTGAGCGTCCAAGTGACTTGACCTCTGAGGAGAATGATTATCAATGTATTTCTGTTCCTGATTCACACAAACTTACTGGACCTCCCAGATGGAGATATGTTAGCATCCATATGTGCATCCACACTGGGACTCTCTCTGCACAGCACACACCTACCTCTGCTATGGATAGCTCCAACCTCATTTCCCTGATCACCTTAGAGCTACAAAATGGTGTTTGGTCTCCCCTACACGGCATAAGTTAGAACTAGCTAAACCAGGCTGGTCTTGTCTGTGGAGTACAGCTGTGAAAAAGTGCACCCCACCCCAGCCTTGGAGGGAGGGGAACTAAAGCATGGGATAAAGAATTCAATTTAGCATCTTAGGGCTCAGTGAGAGATGGGATGGGAAATGTTGTGACATTCCACTGGTCTGAAGTTTAGTCCTGGGGTGGTGCTGTAGTATAAGCACTGGACTGCTAACCAAAAGGTCAGCGGTTCAAACCCACTAGCCTTTCCTTGCAAAACCTATGCAGGATTGCTATGAGTCAGAAGTGACTCAACAGCACTTAACAGCAGTTTAGATAAAGAGACTTGGTGGCACTGTGGTTAAGTGCTTGGCTGCTAAACAAAAGGTCAGTTTTTCAAACCCACTAGTTACTCCACAGGAGAAAAATGACAGCTCTGGAAACCTTACTCTGTTCTATTAGGTCCTATAGGGTCATTATGACTTAGAATTAACTTGATGTCACGTGATTGGTTTGGGATTTTTTTAAGTAGTTTAGGTGATTTTTGTCTATGTAATTTCCTTCTTGAGACAATAGGGTAACTTGTAATTGGTTCAAATATGGCAAGACCTTGGTTACTCAGGGATCGATTAAAAACCACCAGCAGGAAATTATCCGGGTTCCTTCTTCCCTTGGCCATATCCTCTTTACAAATAGTGTAGGGTGAGAAGAATCCCCAGTCTGCTGGCTTCACTCATGGGGAAGTGGGCTTCTCAGGGATTTCCTTAAACCAAGTCTTTACAAGACTCAAGGGATTTACTTATTCTTCCTGGTCTATCCACCCTACTACCCAGGACGCTGGTGTTGTGTTTATCAGAAGCAAAACTCTACTTGTCCATGGCAAATCTTCCAAGACTCATACTAGTTTTATAATACTCTTTGGGGGCCAATACATAACTTCTACAGTTGATTCCTCAACTTGAGAGTCTATATTTTCTTCACTTTGAGAGGTTTACAAGTACCACTAAGGTCCCAGGCAGGGCCTGAGTTTTCCCTAGGATAAAATAGACATAGAAAGTGCAGCAGGTGTTGCCTGAGTCGTTGCCCCTTCCCTGCCATGACTACCTGCTACTGCTGAGCCATCCACACCATCGTTGTGGTGACATCTCCGTTCAATTGTCCACTCCCCAGATGACAGGCCGGGACCTTGTCAAGGATCGAAGTCTGAAGCCAGTGAAGATTGCCGAGAGTGATATTGATGTGAGTGAGAGGTGGCGGGATAGACTGGCCCCTCCCCGGCCCCAAGCTCCGGTCCTCAACCCCCAGCCCCCAGCCCCTGCGTTGGGGAGCTCTCGGCAGGGTTTGGGTAGTCTGTTAACCAAGTGTTTTCTATAAACACTGTCAAGGCCATGCCCTTATCTTACCATCCTGTTCTTGCTTTCAGGTCAAACTAAGCGTCTTCTGTGAACAAGACAGGATCCTCCAGGACTTGGAAGACAAGATACGAGCTCTCAAGGAGAACAAAGTATGCATACATTTTGTCTAGTCTTGGGCTGCGTGGTGGAGGTTTTCTCATCCAGTCCTCCGTCAGTCACAGATTGGACTCTCAAGTTAGTCCTGAACAACAGATGTCAGCCTATCCAGAGCAGTGTCTTTGTGTGTAAAGGATGCTTTCTATCTGATGTGGAGGAAACTTCTTAAGGAGACCTTCGCTCACTTGCTCTAAATACCACAGCCCCTCCTCTGCTCTGGCCCCATTCACACTATAGGCCCTGTGAGGTGAGCCAGGGAGACAAAGATTCCACTGACTTATATGTATATGTGGTTACCACAGGCCCCTGAGCCCCCAGGAAAAGGGGGACAGCCTTGGTGGAAGTAACCATGATCATGATAGGTCAAAGGCTCTCAGCTTCCTAAAATTTCTTTCTTCCTAGGATCCAGGCTGTGGGAGGAAGCAAGTCTGGATGGAAAGGCAGGAGTAGGACTAGGGATAGGATCTTAAAAGTGGATATTTGGTTTTTTGTTTTTCATTTTAAAAAGGCATTATATTTATAATACCAAAAATGAATGGCTTATGGCATACCCATTTCCCTCGAAGCTTACGGAGTTTTAGATCTGTTTCATTTACCCTCATAGTCTGGCTCCTAACGAGTTAGTTGGCAGATAAGGAAATGGAGGCAAAGAACTGTTAAGATGATTTCTAATTAGAAGCTGTGAATCTCAGTTCCCAAGCTCTGCTCTGACCCCTTCAACCTCAGTTAGATTGATGAGTAGGTTTGTTTCCTTCCTGACATGGTATGGGGAAGCCTCGGGGATGGTGCTCCTAACATGTTTATTCCTTGCCTGGAACAGGACCAGCTAGAGTCTGTGCTGGAGGTCTTGCACAGACAGATGGAGCAGTACAGAGACCAGCCCCAGCACTTGGAGAAGATCGCCTGCCAGCAGAGGTTGCTGCAGGAGGACCTTGTACACATCCGGGCAGAGATCTCCAGAGAGTCCACTGTGGGTAGAGGGTGTGGAGGGCGGCAGACTTTTACCCTCAGAATAGGCTGGGCTAAGGCTACTTTACTCACCTCCCAAGCTGTAGTTGAGTTAGTTGCCAGGAGAAGAGCCTCAGAGGAGCAGAACTTTCTCCAACCACTGGGCAGAAGCTTACCTGGTTCAGGAGTGATGTGTCTTACTCCATCACTTCTGTGGCCTGCCTCGGTGCCACCCAAGGGGTCAGATTTTTTCAGAAGACTCTGCAAGGTTATTTCACTGATTTGTGTGTTAATTCTAAAATGTCAGAATTTCACTGATTTGTGTGTTAATTCTAAAATGTCAGCATTTCCTTTTTTTTTTTTTTTTTAATTGGTACGTCTGATGTGGCACAAGCTCTTTTGCCAGGGCTGGGAATGAAAGCATCCCTGAAGGTGAAAGAGGGCACAGTGTAGGTGGCCAGGGTCAGAGCACAAAGAAGATGCCACACTGCCCCTCTCCCTGCCCCCCAGGACCACCTGAGGCCCACAAGTTCCCGTCCCTCTACCCTTGGCTGGGTCAGCAGTGGTCAGGCATGCAGGGGCCCTAAGGCCTTCTGGGGGCAGAGACTAACTAAGAACTGAGGCATTTCCTTGGCCAACAGGAGATGGAAAATGCCTGGAACGAATACCTGAAGTTGGAGAGCGACGTAGAGCAGCTAAGGCAGACCCTACAAGAGCAGCACAGAAGAGCATTTTTTTTCCAGGTGACCCAAGGGCTGTTCTTACCTCTTGAGCTCTGATTGCATCTGAGAACATTCACCTGTCTGGGCAGTGGGACTGAGAGCACTCCCCAGGGGCCTTGTGTTCCTCCGCCTGTTATCCACCTCCCTAAAGAGGCCAGCCACCCCAAGCTCTCGCTTGAGATTCTTTATACCCCCTGCATCTCGGTCCTTGGGCATTTGTGTAAGGGTTTTACTACAGCCATTTCAGGAAACAGGCCAGGTAGGAGATAGGTACCAACCTTGAGAACCTTACAGAGACTTGAGAATAAATCTGTGTTCTGTGCTTCTTGGCCCCGTCTTGGGTACCTAGCTCCTCAATTAGACTGTAGTAGCAGGAAGTCCCTACCTCCTTCCCTCCTCTGATTCCTGAAGATAGATCATATCAAGCGTCTAATTGTGGAGGGTAGAGGTCCGCTGAGGTGCCTCTGGCCTCCAGGTGTCCATTTGCATTTCTGGAGCCTGGGTTGTGTGTGTGATGCCCATCGCCATGACCCCTGCCTCATTCAGGAAAGGTGACCTTAGTATCCTTCCTCCTCGCAAATTTTTCCTTTACCCTTAAAAACCAGGCCATCCCACTGATAGCTGTCTCTGTCTCCCAAAGACCCTTGAGGGCTTCTCTTCTTCTATGTCGGGTCCCCCAGTTGCCAGGTCTTTTCCTCATTGTGGGAAAATAAATTCAACTTATTTGAATTTAGCAACCATTAATTAAAGGAGCTCTAGTAGCGTAGTGGTTACGAATCGGGCTGTGAACCGCAAGGTCAGCAGTTCAAAACTACCAGCTGTTCTGCAGGAGAAAGGCTTTCTGCTCCTGTAAAGATTTACAGCCTCGGAAACCCTGTACAGGGTCGCTATGAGTTGGAACCGACTCCACGGCACATAACAACAACAACAACAACAATTAAAGCATGATTAGTCATCACAATGCTAGGCCAATTTTGGTGCTAATTGATTACCTAATTCTAGCCAAGATTCTTCATTCAAATGAATTAATAGACATGTTGACGCTCCAAACATTGGCCTTCATTTTCAGAGTGAAAGAAATTTAGGAGGGGGGTTAGGTCTGTGGGCCAAGAGGGTTTTCCCAGCATGCTGTTACCTACCCTGCAAGTCACTCAAAGATGAATCCTGTAGAGCCGGTTCCGGATCACACAGAGGAGAACAGTACCGGGCTGGCCTGTGAGGGCCCTCAGAACCGGTCTCAGACTCCATTTTTGTGTTTTTCATATAATTCCCCTTCATCTAGGCTAACATTTTCTTTTTCTGTTTTGTGTCTCCAGCACTTAGCATAATGGCTCGCAAATACTAGGTGACTACTGACTGACAGTGTCTTTCAAACCACGATTTCTAGTTATGTTTTTCAACTGACCTGTCCTGCTATACCTGTCTTCTTCTTGGACTTCAATGATCCATATGCATTTTAGCAGCCCTTTTTTTAGTTTTTTATTCCTTATATGTCTATAATTACACAAAGAACACATGAAGACATCTCTGCAAAAATCAAACAAAACTAAAACCCAAGAAACAAAAGCTCTTCTTCCCACTCTCTGCCCCACTCCCCTCTCCTTCCTTATAAGTGATCAGGGCTGACATTATGTGGTAGAGCTTTCCAGACCATTGTAGATTCATTTCTAAACTTAGTCACATACATGGGAAGGTACTGCTTTAGTGGAGGAGGGAGGTGGATAAAATGGTTATTTAAGAGGATGATAATCTTACACATTGTTTGGCCACTTTTGTGTCTGTGTGATAACTTTGTCACAGAAGCCCTGTGCTTGGCTGTTAACTGAAAGGTTGGTAGTTCGAACCCAGCAGCCGCTCCATGGGAGAAGACTGTAGAACCTTATGGAGCAGTTCTTCTTTGTCCTGTAAGGTTGGAAATGACTTGGCAGCCATGGGTTTGAGTTTGTTTGATTTGATTTGATTTTTTTGTCATGGAAATCTTTCCAGGAAACTGCCCGTATCTGAAAATTTATGGTGAGCAATATGGTATTTGGAGTCCTGGTGTGGCACTGTGCTGGACTGCAAGGTTGGTGGTTCAAGCTCACCAGCCGCTCCGCAGAAACCCTGTACAGGGTCGCTATGAGTCAATACCTAGTTGATGGCACTTAACAACAACAATAATATGGTAGTTGTTATTAAGTGCCATGGAGTGAGTTCCAAGTCATATCGACCCTGTATAGGGTTTCTGAGGCTGTGGATCTTTGCAGGAGTGAAAAACCTCATCTTTCTCCTAAGGAGCAGCTGGTGGACTCAAACTGCCAACTTTGTGGTTCACAGGCCAGTTCTTATCCTACAGAGCCTCCATGCTCCCTGTCCAATATGGTAGCTACTTACATTTAGACTGATTAAGATGAAGTAAAATTTAACATTTATGCCTCAGTAGGGAATGGAGCTCTGGTAGCGTAGTGGTTACGAATCGGGCTGCGAACCTTAAGGCCAGCGGTTCGAAACTACCAGCCGCTCTGCGGGAGAAAGATGAGGCTTTCTACTCCCGTAAAGATTTACACCCTCGGAAACCCTGTACAGGGTCGCTATGGGTCGGAACCGACTCGATGGCACTTCACAACAACAACAACAACAGGAAATGAAGAGTTATTGCTTAATAGGTACAGAGTTTCTGTTTGGAGTAATGAAAAAGTTTGGGAATGAATTGTAGTGATGGTTGCACCACAGTATGAATATAATTAATGCCACTGAATTGTACATTTAAACAATGGTAAAAATGGCAAATTTTTACATCATCCCTATTTTACCACAATAATAATAATAAATAAATAAAGTCTGAAAAACCCATTGGTGGTGGTGTGTGCTGTGGAGTTAATTCCAACTCATAGCAACCCTGGATAGGGTTTCTGAGGCTGTGAATCTTTATTGGAGCAGAAAGCCTCATTTTTCTCCTGCAGAGCAGCGGGTAGATTCGAACTGCTGACCTTGTGGTTAACAGCCCAACTTGTAATCCATTATACTACCAGGCCTCCTTAAAGGGACAATAGTGAAAATAGGTTGTGAAACTGCTCCAAAGCTTGTACCATCACCCACCATTTCAGAATGCCTCTCAAGTTGTTATTATTAAGGAATTAACGGAAGGTGTAACCACATTTCATTCATAATATGGACTCACAACCTGCTAAAATATCTCAGTTCTGAAATAGCTAGTTTTGTTAGCTCAAACTAATCAGTTACATATTTATCCAAAAAAACCCACTAATTTACTGTTAAAAAAAAAAAATCTCAAGTGTATTTCAAATAACCAGCAGACAAACATAAGACATCTTTTTTTTAAATGGTAAATGAAGCGTGTTGAGTGTGTCAGGTTAGTTCCAAAGTACTTATGCATAAAAATAGCCTAAATGTCTGATACTTTATATTGTAACTGATGCTGAGATAGAGAGGTGACCTAATTTTTAAGAAGCTTTACGCCTCAGTCACAAGTGCTAACACAGGTTTTTGAGTAGATTTCCACCCGAGCCAAAAGTTCTATTGGGCAATACTGGTTTAAGCAGATCTTCTTAATGGCTACTTAACATTCCATAGTCTGGCTATTCTGTGCTTTATTTATCGATGTCTTTTCTGGTGGACATTTAAGTCCATTGTTTTTACTTTTATAAACAATGCTGTGATATCACGTAACTGTCTTTTCAAATTTGTTTACAAACATTTATCTAAGATTGTTGTTGTTCAGTGCCATCAGGTCAGTTCTAAGTCAAAGCATTTCCCAGGAATGGCTGGTGGGTTTGAACTACCAATCTTGCGTTTAGCAGTTCTATGTTTATCCTATAGCGCCACACCAAACCTGGAAATGAACTTGCTGGGTAGAAATGAGTACACATTTTAAAAGTTGATGTTGTTGTTGTTGTTCAGTGCTGACGAGTTGATTTTGACCCATAGCAACCCTATCTAGGGTTTCCTCGGAGCAGCTGGTGAGCTTGAACCACTGACCTTGCAGTTCAAATGACATTGTGGTCTGACACATTAGCCCACAGCACTACCCCAGGACAGTTGATGGATACTGCCAAACTGTCCTCTAAGAGACTGCTAATTTATCTTTCTACCAGCAGGGAATAAGAGCACTGAACTTGATGTTACCAGTCTTTTTAGTTTTTGCTAGTCTGCTGAGAGAAAAATGACTTCTTGTTTTAATTTGTGTTTATTTAATTATTAATGAGGTTAAATATGTTTTCCTTCAGCTAGTGTCCTTTATAATTCACCTGTGCATAGTTTTATGATAACATATAGCAGGCCAAAGTGGATTTTCCCCCTTCCATAAAACAAACAAGTACAATACAGTAACCAGTTGGCAGCCTGATCCCTGAGTCTTGATTTCCACCTAATCCCAGGGCACTGCACACGCTTTCCCTGAGTGTCCCGGTGACTTGGGACGCACACAAAGCCTAGCTTTGAGCAGACTCTGTGTTGGCTTCTTTGGTGTAGTCCTTGTTGTTGTGAAGTGCCGTCGAGTTGGTTCCAGTCCATAGCAACCCTGTATAGGGTTTCCAAGGAGCAGCTGGTGAACTTGAACTGCTGACCTTGTAGTTCAAATGACTTTGCAGTCTGATGCATTAGCCCACAGCATCACACCAGGGCTCCTAGGTCAGGCAAACTCTAGATAAATCATTAACACACTGACTTGTACTCACAATTCCATATGCAAATTCTCAGTTATGGGGCTTGGAAACTCACTTCTCTCTAGGCGGTTTGACTGTGAGAGCATTTATAATCTTCTCAGTCAAATAAGGAGAAGCCTTGTTTATGAAGATCCTCAGTCACCGAGTCAGGAATCGAAAACCCAGGGAGCTGTATGAGCGGCAGCCTTCCTACCCAACATGGTATGAGGAGACAGGAATGAAACCCCATCTCCTGCTCCCCAGATGCTCCTCTCACCTTGTCATTAAAGTCTGACGTTCCATCGTCCCTGGGGAAAGAGAGGTCCCTGAGTAACACTCAACTACTGACCCAAAAGTTGGTGATTTGAACTCATCCAGCGGCACCATGGTAGAAAGTCCTGGTGATCTGCGTCCAGAAAGATTACATTTAAGGAAACAGCTGGAGCGGTTCTACTGTAACACACGGCATCACTGTGAGTCTGAATTGATTCGGCAGCAGTGGGTTTGTTTGCACATGATCACCCACTTGGAGGGGATCGCTTCAAACACCTGTTGTCACCGTTGGTGGAAAGTGTTTGGTCAGGGAGTTTAAATGATCCCTTACTCATTTCACATGTTGTTGATAGTTGCTGTCAAGTCGATTCTGGCTCATGGCAACCCCGTGTGTGTCAGAGTCGAGCTGTGCTCCGTGGGGTTTTTAAGGCTACAGTCTTTCGTAAGCACACTCTCAGACTTTTCTTCTGAGTCACCTCTGGATGGTTCAAACCACGAACCTTATAGCTGATATTGAGCACTTGATCCTTTGTACCACCCAGGACTCTACTGCTTAAGCATCAGACCCCATGGGGACTTGCAGAACCTGCAAGTAGGAAGCACAATTAAGAATCAGGCTAGAACTTTTCCAGTTGAGGCACTTTGAGAGCTGAGGAAAGTGGGAAGCCTTCTTTTTGGACCATCAGTGGGAGGAAACCAAGGTTTTCTCCCATTGTTAACAATTTTCAAAATCACATGAAAACAATATCTGATGTCCACAACCCCTTGACTACCACAGAGCCCTGCTTACCTTTCTGTAGGGCCTCTTCTAATCTTGGTTAGAACCTGTCTAAGCATGTATTTAATCACATTGTCTTGTTCCTTTCCACCTGTGGTTTTTATAAAAATTACTTTGAGATGTAATTTTCATACTATAAAATTTACCTTTTAAAGTGCACAATTCAGTGGTTTTTCAGTCATGTAGCCATTTAATTTTTATATCATTTTTATCACCCCAAAAAGAAATCCTGTAGCCATTAACAGTCACTCCCCATAACTCCTGCCAATTCTCCATCCCCAGGCTTAAGGCAAGCTCTAATATATTAACTATCTCTATGGAGTTGCCTAGTTCTGGGCATTTTGATATGAAACCATTGTTGTTAAGTGCCTTCAAGTCAGTTCCAACCCACAGCAACCCTGTGCAGGGTTTCCAAGGAGCAGCTGGTGAGCTTGAACCAACCTTACAGTTCAAACCTACCTTACGGCCCCGTGCATTAACCCTCAGTGCCAGAAGGTAATATATGACCTTCTGAGTTTGGCTTTGCTGATTCAGCATAATGCTTTCAGGGTCCGTGCATGGTGTAGCATATATCAGGACATTGTCCCGTCGATCATTGCACTGTTAGCTAACCCTCAGGTTCCAGGATTCAGCTCTGTATCTTGTTTAAATTCTTTTTCTTCCCTTCTCCCTTGGTTGTATAAATCAGTCTATTTTTTAATTAGGTAAAAATAAATAAGCAGGACTGGTAAACGTCACTCTAAAATTTCTATCCTGGACCTTGGACTGTTCTGTGTCTACGTGTCTCCCAGAAAGCTGTGAAATAGCCTTAGTACTCTCCCCACTGCCCTCCAATCCCCAGGGTAAGGGGGTCTGTCTAAAATGACTGGAGAAGTCCTAAGAAGACTGCTGGTGAGGAGCTGAGAAGGAAATGAACCACCGTCCTTCTTCCTTAGGAGAAATCTCAGATACAGAAGGATCTCTGGAGGATTGAAGATGTCACTGCAGGCCTGAGTGCAAATAAGGAGAACTTCAGAATCCTGGTGGAATCAGTCAAAAATCCTGGTGAGTGGGCCATCTTCCTGGGGAGGGGGTGTGGAATTGGTGGCCAGAACACAAGTAGGTGGGACTGCCCTTGAGGGGGTCGGCTTTGAGAGGTTGGGTCTTCATGGCACTAAGTCACACCACTTGTCCTCCATGGAAGGTCTTTTTCCATCCTATGCTGTTTTGCCCTTCATACCCCTTAGAGAGAAAAACAGTGCCTTTGTTTCCTCACCCACCTGTGCCTTCACTCTCTACTTCTGAGAGCAAGTCGTCCCTGCAGCCCAGCCCTCCGACCAGCCCTGTACGGACTCCTCTGGAGGTTCGACTCTTCCCCCAGCTGCAAACCTACGTGCCATACCGACCTCACCCACCCCAGCTGAGGAAAGTGACATCCCCGCTTCAGTCACCAACCAAGATGAAGCCCAAAGCTGTAAGTTTTCATATCTAGGAGCTGAGCAGCCTCTCTTTCTCTCTATAGTAGATGCTTGGCCCTTTCTGTTCTGAGATCGACTTCTCTTGGGGGACTAGAACCAGCCAGAACCCTAAGGGAGTCCAGAGCCCTGAGCAGTTAGTGAGTAGTATTTACCTGCCTTTGCTTCTGACTCTCAGAGCTGGAGATGACCTAGCCTAACTCTCCCACTTTACAGTTGGGAAGACTGAGGACTAACAAGAGGAAGTGACTTGACTAAAAACTAACGGTGGAACTTGTGATCTATACAATGCAGAGAGGTGTGTGGTTGTTGGTGGGATGGGTCCCATACCGAGCTCCATGTAAACCTGCCGAGGGCTTTCCTTCAGTTATATCAACTGAAGGCCATCCTTATCTTCATCTGTAGTTGAGCACTGTACCTGGTTATAAAGATCCACATGGTTCTCACAATAACTTTAAAGATAGGAAGAACAACATCCCCACCTTACAAATAAGAAAACTTAGGTCCAAAGATAATTGAAATTTGCTTAAGGTCTCCATGTTAGTTAGTGGAGCCAACCCCTGCCTTCTGACCAAGCTCTTTAGTCTGTGCCATCTGTCATCTAATTGGACATCCAAGTCCTCAGGTTGGGTCTGTGGCCCGTGATGTTGAGTGGAAATGCCTTGAGTTCTGGGGTGTAGAGAGAGATCGAACGCTGGTCAGAATCTGGGAACACAGAGACTTAAAGGAAGTCATAGAAGGTCTAGTCAGTTGGTAAAATGAGAGCTTTTTCCTTCAGGAGCAGCCTGTCCTTGGCTGAAGAATACAGGCTTTGGGGAAAGGAACTGATCCAAGTGACAAGGAACTGAGCCTGAATTGTAACTATAATAGATGGAACCTTGGAATCGGGACCTCCAGATTTTTGCCAACAAATGTCTCAAAGCTTTGTTTAGGGCTCCCAGGACAGTATGCCTAGGACTTCCTATGGGCTTACTGCACAGAGTTGAATAAAACCATGTGAGCTCCTGTACTGGGGGGCTCACCATCCACCCACTTCCAGCAGGACCCAGATCTTCCAGACGCTTGTCAGGACCCTGGGTGTAGTCCATGACCCAACCAGAAAGTCTCTGGGAATGTCTTCATCTTGAGATGTCCTTTCCAGCTCCAGATCTAGGAGGCCATAAAACAAGAGGTAGAAGTAAAAATGAACAGCTTGAATGTCAGAGTCAGGTGGAAGACAACATAATGCAGGATACTCGCCAGGTAGATAGGGAACAGATAGATGAGGTGCCAGTCGGGGAGCTGGTACACCTGGATTCCAGTCCCTGTGTTCGGGCAAGTCTGTCCTCTAAACCTTCTCAGTCTTCCCTTGTTCAGAACAAGCAACGTGCGGTCAGTGACCACAGGCTTCCTGCTCATGGCTTGGTCCCCTATGGCTCTCTAGGGCAGACCTTTCTCACCGCAGGGTTGTTGGGAGTGGAAGGGGGCGGTCTTCTTTCCTGTCCTCCTTATACTGGGTGTGTGCTTGCCAGTTTCACCAATTTGTTGGTCACTTGTGTTTTTAATTGTAGCAAAGTATATTTCTTACAAAGAACTTGCTATTTTAACCATTTTTTAAGTTAATAAATAATTCAGTGGCATTAACCACATTCCCTGTGCTGTACAACCATCACCACCATCTCCTTTCAAAAGTTGTTCATCACTCCACACAGAAAGCCAGTGCCCATTACCAACAAAGCACCCCTCATCTCCTGGTAAGCACTAACTCTATTCTCCATGTCCATGAATCCGTCCCCTCGTCATCTGACAACACTGAAACTGCATTATCAGGTCATTTGTGTCTGGCTCATTTCACCTAACACAATGCATGTTAGGTGTCATTTTAAGGCTCATCCATGTCACATGTGTGCTGGTTTATTTTTTAACATTTATATTTGTGAAACAACAGTATCCATCCCATAAGTAATATAAAACCTGAGTTTATAATTTGACAAGTAATTATAAAGGGACTATCTGCAAAAATAACAACAACAAATGACAATCATCTCTCCCACAATACTCTCTGCTCTGCGGGGTTCAATAATTAGTTACAATAACCACACAGAACTCAGACACTATCATCACAGTGACAGGGTTTATTAGAGAAGTTAACGGATTACAATTCAGGGTCAGTTCTACAGTCAGGACAGCCTCTCTCTGGTCCTCCGCCCTTAGACATGGCCTCTACCCTGCTCTGGAAATGGTACAGAGCTTTAATAGGGCTGCTGATAAATGCCCACAGGGCACACCACTCCATCATAGACCTCAGCCTAAAGGCCCTTGGCTTTAACACCATGGGTCATCAAGCCTAGCTTCCCTAATTGAGTGCAGGGAGATATCCCGCTCTGCAAACAAGCCCCCTGCCCAGCTTCCTTGCTCTGTCTCATGCTCTGACTCTGGATTCTGTGGTGGCTGCTTTTCAGCCACTCCTCTGGTGTCACTCTTTCTGTGCCTGGGTGGAGGGGGCTCAGTGCACTGGGACCTTGGGGTCCAAAGGACGTGCTCCACTCCTGGCTCTTCTTTGATAGTAGTGAGGTCCTCCTTTCCTGCTTCTGAGATTTTATACCCATGCTAGAGAAGCAAGTTTTTACAATCACAGTTAACCTTCTTAACCATCATTCATAGCGGATCCATATCATCCTATCAGTATCTTCTCCCTCTTTCTGTTACTCAGACTCACCAGAAAGAGAGTCATTTGGTGGGAGACTAAGGTTAGAAGAGACATATTAAATAATCCACTACACAACTCCATCTATGTTAAACTGCCATGCAGACCAAGAAATCAAATTATGCCAGCAGCCATGGGCCCCTTCCCAGTTTAGGCCACTCTCTGTCCATCAGAAGTAACTACTCCCTTGACTTTTAGGTTAAGAATTCCCTTGCTTTTCCTTATAGTTTTACTGTATAAGTTTACATATCTAAATACTTCCATTTAATTTTGCCTGTATATAATATTGTATTCATTGTCTGTTGTATCTTTTTGTCAATGTTTCAGCGCTCTGTGTACATTGTTATAGGTAGCTGTGGTAGTAGCTATGTGCTGTTGTGTGGGTTCTGATTCAGCATCCATGTATACGTTTTCCGAGGCTACACATCTTTACAGGAGCAGAAAGCCTCATCTGTCCCCCACAGAACAGGTTCAAGTGCTGACCTGGCTGTTAGCAGCCACGCTATATAGTTCTTTCATTTTTATTTGGCTTGTTTTCCTGAATTTAATGTGATTTATTTTTAATAAATAATACTCTGAAAGCATTCAAAAACAAAAGGTATGTTATAAAATGCCTTCCTCTCAACCTCTTTCTCCAGATACCCTGTTTTCAAGAGTGTTATATTTATCTTTTTGGGGAGTTTTTTTTTTAGAAATTGGTGATTCTGTAGTCTTACCAGGGTTGGAAAGCACTGATCTTTGGGGAGCATCTGGCTGCTTCCAGGTAGGCAGCTTACCTTCTGCACGTTCCTGAACTGCTGCTTTCAAAGAGTGTGAACAGACCTTGCAAAGCAAGCTTGGAGTGCCATTTCTTGAGCTCTGTGAAAGTGTGAAAAACAAAGCAAAGTTCCATTGAGAAAGAGGGAACTTGGGAGAAGGAAGGACACCGTGGTCAGTTGTCTGCAGGATCGGGTGTTCACGGAGGTCAGGCCCAGTGTGTCCATCTGTGGAGGAACCACAGCCCTCAGAAAGCAATGGGTAGGGTGGGGGGCAACCTGGATAATAGCAACATTTGTCCTGGCCCAGGGATTGGGCTGCGGTGGCGGGTAGCCAGTCATTCAGCCCACAACCTATTCCATTAACAAGTCATGAAGAATCAAATACTCTACAACTATGCACAGTTTGGATAGGAAGGGTCAGGAGGACTCAGGTCCCCAGCGTATGACGACTCCAGACTTTGTGTAGGCACAAGGAGCCAGCTCAGTCTGGCACTGCAGAGTGGCAGATGTTCTGTTAGAAGCTTACAAGTCAGTCCAGCATTAGCAGCCTGCCTCCAAGACAGGGGACAGGCAGGTAGGCCAAGAGCACCGGACTCAAGAGACTGAGTTCTGGAACCCGGGCCAGTGCATACAGGTAACACTGAAAACTAAACAACGTGTGACTCAGAGGGAACCACAAGGATGGAGCAGGGACATCCCTGCTCTTCTCTCTTCTACCTGGAGCAGTAATAACATCCCTTGGCCAAGCATCATGCCGAGTTTCTCCAAGATGGCCTGTTGAGAACTCACTGTGGTACCATGCTCAGCAGCCTGCCCTCTGGCGCCCTCTCCTCACACTAGTTCTGCTTCGTTTTCTGAGCAGGAAGATGAGGCACCTCCCAGGCCCCCTCTCCCAGAACTCTACAGCCCAGAGGACCAGGCCCCGGCTGTGCCCCCTCTGCCCAGGGAGGCCTCCATCATCCGACACACTTCTGTGAGGGGACTCAAGCGACAGTCGGATGAGAGGAAGCGAGACCGGGAGCTGGGCCAGTGTGTGAACGGAGACTCAAGGGTGAGCAGGGAGGGGCCCTGGGGTTGCCACACTGTGTGTAGGGTGGGGGTGGAGCGGCGGGGGGAGATGACCTGGAAACCACTTCATACTTGGCCCCTGCCCACAGGTGGAACTCCGGTCATACGTTAGTGAACCTGAGCTGGCGACCCTCAGTGGGGACACGGCCCAGCCCTCCCTCACACTTGTGGACTCTGAGAGCAGGTACCAGACGCTGCCAGGTAGAGGTAAGGCAAAACGCTTTATGGGGTCTTCATAGGAACTGCTCTCCCAACCCTCATGGGTACCTCGGACTCTTCTGTCAGGAGGCCCTGAGCCTACTACTCCTCCCTCAAGCCCACAGCCTGATTCTCTCATCTTTACATCTGTGCCAGGAACAATACAAATAGCAAATACGGTACATAGGCGTTTTGTGACTGTTGTTTCTCATAACAACCCTATGATAGTATTATTAGCCCATTTTAGAGAGAAGGAAACTAAAGCTCAAAGAAAGTCAGTAATTTGCCAGAGTTCTGGCCCCAGAGTCAGCATATTAGCCACTGCCCCCTGCAGGCCTTCCAGAGGATTTCTTCCCCTCTTCTGTGTCATTCTAAGACTCAGTGAGACGGTTCTTTAAAGAAACACACTTTCTCTTCAGTTGGACCTCGTTCTCTTGCTCTTCCCTGTCTCTTCAAGATAGGGATGGAAACAGACTTGGGCTCTTAGACTTTGCCCATCTCCCATTTGTCCCAGACCCCTGGGACCCCTGAGCAGGTTGGCAGCTCTTGGAGCAAACAGGTCCAACATTCTTTTCCTGTTGGCCGGCCCAGAAAGCAGGACATACAAATGTGGTGACTGTGAAATACAGGTGATAGCTAATTCTGCATAAGGCTTCACTAAGGTGGAACATTTGGGTTATGAAGGGTGTGTACGTGTTCATCCGGAAGGAGAGCGATAAAGGACATTCTTACCCCTCTTCCTTGCTACATGCCCAACAGCGCAGGTCTCCTTCATGTAGCACACAAGCCGAGTGGGACACTCACCCGTCAGGGGCAGATGGCCCTCCTGGCCTGGTCCCCAGTACTGCACCCTGGGGCCTTCCACTTCCAGTCCCTGGGGAGGGAACGGCGACAGAAGAGTGGGCCCTCTTGGTGGCCCTCATGGGAATGGGAGGTTAATATTGGAGGGCAGCGCCTGTCCACTTGCCATGAGAACTTGCATTTCTCTTCTTGCTAAGGGCTCTCAGGATCCACGTCCAGGCTCCAGCAGCCGTCCAGCATTGCTCCCTACGTCACGCTCCGGAGGGGTCCAAATGCCGAAAACAGCAAGATGGCCTTCCCTGTGAGTGGTCTTAAAAGTGCTTGAGTGGCTCAGCACTCCCTTTTGGTGCCACCATCCACACTGCCCACCAAGGAGTGGAGGGCCTGCTTGGGGCAGCATGAAACTGCCTTCTGTGCTGTCCTCCAGCCTGTCAGGGTCAGCAGGGAGCCTGCGTGTGTGCAGAACGGAATAGCCCCAGACCACAGTGGCTGCATGTACTGGGCTGTGGGCATTATGTTCAGGAGTGTGGTTCCTCATACCAAGAGGGACTCAACTCTAGCGAGTGCACGTTTATATATGAAAGAGATGGGACCAGCAGGGTGGCTGCCCTCTCTGTGCTCAGCCCAGCTGCTTCATCTGTCTCTTGCCTCTCTCCCCTCCTCTGCAGAGACCGAAGAGTGCCTTGGAGCGCCTGTACTCGGGGGACCACCAGCGAGGCAAGATGAGCGCGGAGGAGCAACTCGAGCGCATGAAGCGGCATCAGAAGGCCCTGGTCCGGGAACGCAAGAGGACGCTCAGCCAGGGAGAGAGGACAGGCCTCCCTTCATCCCGATACCTCAGCCAGCCTCTCCCAGGAGATCTCGGCTCAGTATGTTAGGAGGGGCCGGGATAGGGAGCAGAGCTTCCCCTGAAGCTGCACAGGGCTTCCTCGATTCCCCCAAACATTAGCACATCCCATTCCTTGAGAATGGGCTGTGGACCTCAGTGGTTCAGAGGACACTCCGGGGCCCAGGCTGTATATGAGACCCAGTCAGAGAGTGACCCAGAACTGGAACAGGAGTGAGGATATCACAGCAGGAGTCGAGAAGCCTGATGAGCAAGTATCCAAAGTCAGTCTTCCGGATGAGTCTGAGAGGGGCCTTTGCAGGCATTTGGAATCTTGGAATCAAGAACCTGGGAATACAGAGATTAAGGAGTGGAGGAGGAGGAGGATGGTGAGAAGAGTTGAGGAGGAACTCAAACCAACCAGCCTTCCAGACCTCCCAGAGGATGCCCTGTGGGAACTACTAAGCTTGGCTACTGGTCTCTAGCTGGCGGTGCTCCGAGGTCTCATGGTGCCCTCAGAGAGCTGGGGAGTCTGTGCTGCCCCCTGATGGCACTGCCCAGCACTGTGCCCTGCCTTAGGTCCCTCGTGGAAACATTCCATTTGGCTTGACCCTGTTGTTGGAAATGTTGCGTTTCCCAAGCCTGCTTTCTTTCCCTAATTCATTGCACAAGCTCTCTTGCTTTTAGTGGTGTTATTAATTGCCCCTCTAATCCTGCCTGATTGCGTTTACAGAAGCTTCTAATTTACATTGAGTGTACTCTAACTGACCTGTGCTCTTTGTTACCAGATGTGTAATAGCAACTCCAGTCTTGATATCCTAGTGAGTTACCTCCATCTGTGACTCACCTTCCTGCTGCCCCCATCCTACAGGCCCACCACCTCCTAATTCAATCATCCCAAATGCCACCCTGCAAAGCTGAGCTAACCCCCAGCCCGAGGACAGTGGCCATTGGCAGATTTTTAGGCATTACAAATTTATACAAGTCCAGGCCTTACACGCGTATGGTAGATGTGGACTTTGGAGGAGGCACATATTAATAAATTCTACCAACTCTGGTAGCGTAGTGGTTACGAATCGGGCTGTGAACCTTAAGGTCAGCGGTTCGAAACTACCAGCTGCTCTGCGGGAGAAAGATGAGGCTTTCTACTCCCGTAAAGATTTACACCCTCGGAAACCCTATACAGGGTCGCTATGGGTCGGAACCGACTCGATGGCACATAACAACAACAACAACCAAGTCTGAAGTGGTTCGGTTCCAACGCCTCCTGCCCTATCACATAATTTTTTATGGAAAACCTTTTGTGTTTCTGGTACTTAAAAACTTGAATGGACAAGCAAAGTATCCAATGTTCTATATTCAGAGGGTCTCCCCGCAGCTGTTAGCTCAAACACCAAAAAAAGGGATAAGACCCAAGTACTTATTCCCTTAAAGCTGCAAACCTGGTAACTTTTTAAACTTTATATGAACATGTTATATGGGGGTAATACTGACCTTTTACTATTTGTTGTCTCAAAAGTAGAAAGATTAACTAGAAATCGTAACTTCAATACCTTGTCATTTTTATCTTTGAAAAAAAGACTATTGTAAGTCTCTGCATCGACGCCAATAAACTTGCTGCTTGATGAGACTGGATTGGAGGGTAATAGTGTCCAGTCATTCTTTGTGGTTTGTGTAAACAATCAGGCTGAGCTAAAAAGACGCCTTGTCGCGATCTGGGGCACTTGTTAGCACGTAAGATAATTAATGTTTGTTTCCTTTGTGAACCATTAAATTAATTTTTCATCTCTGGAAGTTCAGTTGCCTAATCCTTTCGAACTCTAATTGGAAAACATCACCTTAGAGCGATTATGTTGGTCTGGAGTCAGTTCTGAGAGCTTGTGCATGAATGGGTGAAATGTGTTGATATGGCTATGGGCTTGGGGGCTGGGGGCATCTGAGGGGACCTCAAAGACATCTGGGACTGTCTGGGGCTCCATGAGGTATAGGAGACGCAATGGCCTGCTATGGTTAAGTCCCCTGAGCTTCTGTTAAAAGAAGAGAGACTTTGAGTCTGATCTCTCTCCTCACCAACCTGCTGCATGGCAAAGGCCTGTGAGGATGCCGGTCTCGAGTGGGGGAAGCAAGACCGTCATGCTTGAGCCCTAGAGTGGTCAGGTTATTTTTTCCCTCTTGTACGGACATGCTTATTACAAAGTCAGTGCTGCTGAACAGCCTTGTTATGTGCCGTGGAGTCGGTTCCAACTCATAGCCACCCTGTACAGGGTTTCCGAGGCTGTAAATCCTTATGGGAGCAAAAAGCCTCATCTTTCTCCTGTGGAACAGCTGGTAGCCTCAGGAAAGGTATATTTGGTTTTATCATCTCAATTTTGTTATTTTTCATTTTCATTTTTTTAATGAAAAGAAAGTATCTGCCCTAACTAGATGGCTATCTTAAGCAGCCCCTTCTCTGGCCAGTGAGGGTATGCACTTCCCCTGAACTGCATCCTCTCAGAGACTCTGCGTTATTCCACTTCTTAGCAGAGCCTTAGAGGACTAGCTGTCTCCACTCGTTCTGAGGACATATGGCTTCTGAACCAGAAGGCCTTGCCCAAGCTGTGGAGCAGGAGAAGGGCCATCCCATCTCTGGAGTGCTGCTCTAGACTCTGTTTTGAGTTTGCCCTCTCACACCCAAGAGCCTTCTACGCCCACGGGGACCATCTGAACCCAAAGCCCTGGGTCTTAGACCTGTGCCTGGTGGTACATGTTTGAACCCTCAGGTGCCCAGATCAGACACAAAGCAGCAAGCAATCCAGAAACAGGACATGTGAAGTGGGCAGAGGCATCATTTTCCACTGAACATGTAGTTACAACTCACAGGAGGGACCATCCATGACAAAACTGTGTGTTTTAGAGGAAACGGGGTTGAGGACCACAGTCACACAGCTTTTCGGGGTGGGTCACAGGCCCATCTTCTCAGCCCTGCGAGGACCATCCTGAAGGGACCTGGCATGGCTCTCAGCAGCCAGGGAGTGACTGCTCTGTACCCTCTTGTTCTGTTGCCAGTGGAAACGTGAGCAAGACTTTGACCTACAGCTGCTGGAACGGGCCATGCGAGGGGAGAGAAAAGACAAGGAGGAGAATGGCTGGTTGACAGTGCAGGCTATACCCGTCACTGAGCTGGACCTGGAGCCACAAGACTATGACCTGGACATCAGCCGAGAGGTGAGGGCAGGAGCTTGCTTCAGGCCAGCCCAGGAGGCACAGCCCTCCGGCTCCCAGCCTGAACAGCAATCCCAATGGCACCGGGAGTGTTAGCCTGAATAAGGCCCAGGAGAAAGGATGACCACAGCTTCAGGCACTAAAAAGAATCCAGGCTTTGTGGTATAGGTGCACGTTTTTTCCCCTCTGTGTTTTGGGACAAGTCATTTGTGCCTGATTTCTTAACATTAAATGATTGTGGTGAGGAGCAAGTGATTTTGTGTGTTGCTGGAAGGATTAGCAATTCTTGCAAAGCCATGCACATGGGGCCTAGCACATGATGAAGATATGATACAGCCATGGGTATTGTGGGGAAAGGAGTCCTCGTGTGGTGCTGTGGGTTAATGCGCTGGACTTCAAAGTTGGTTTGAACCACAAGGTTGGTGGATCAAGCTCATCAGCTGTTCCTTGGAGGCCTTGTACAGGGTCGCTATGGGTGGGAACTGACTCACTAGCACTAACAACCATTATTGGGAAATGTGTAGCCCTGGAAGGCCACAGGTTGGCCTTGAAACTGGCCACTCAGGACAACTTGGACAATCAGACTTAGGGTAGTGAAGGGCAGGTTTGAAAACCACAAACAAAATTTCAGCTTTGATTGAGAATAGTTGGTTCAGGGACCCTGGTAGTACCTGGAGGATAAGCACTGGACTGTTAACTGCAAGAAAGATGAGGCTGTCTGCTCCTTTAAAAGATTTATAGTCTCGGAAACCACGTATAGGGTCGCTGTAAGTTGGAATTGACTTGAGTCAATAATGAGTAAACAAATAAGTTGATGCCTATTTCTGGTCTGATTTCTTTGAGTGCCCTCTAGTGACTGATATGCATCATGACAGGACAAGTCTGGGAACGCCAGTAATCCATGGCTCTTTACTAATTAGGAATGTTGCTACTCAAGGGAAGAGAAAGGGGATTTAAAAAATGACAGACTCAGGGTCTTCAAGACATAGGGTGGGCTTCTGTGGTCTGTACTGTGCCATCTGTAAGCTGTGGAAGACCAATTCTAGCTGTTTGATTCAACTTTGTGCCTTAGCACCTAGCCCAGGGCCAGGCACACAGCAGGTATGCCATCAATACTTGCTAGAAGAAGTCTCTGTTGATGGGTTGCACAGTTGCCCACAGAAGTCCCATAGTACAGTAGCTTGGCCTACCCTGAAACCACATGAGAAAAAATGCTCTTATCTCATGAAGCGCAGATGTAGGGGAGCCCTCAGTCAAACGTCCCCCATAGGTTTGTCTGATTGCCTTTCTGTGTGTCTCCTTCCTGTTTATAAGGAGCTGGGTCAGACCCCTTAACAGGCAGATTTTGCCGCAGTTTTCTCCCTGACCAAGTGTGTTAGTATCTGTTCTTTGGGAACAAGGGAACAGAATGTGAGCAAAAAAATGCCTGTGAAAGTGCTGAATGCTGGTCCAGCCAGGGCCTCCAGGGCTAGTGAGGACAGTCCTCATCCCTCAGCACTTTTCCCTTTGGCACCTGAAACAGCCAAAGTTTTGCGCTTTCTCAGATTCACAAAAGAAGCTTCCACACCCTTCCTTGGCAGTGGACATGTGTTCTGTAGTATCCTCATTGGCCCACCAGCCAGGGAAAAAGTCCTTCCTTATCTCTAACCTAAATCCCTCCTGCTACAATGTAATCTGCATCCTTCCTCTGGATCTGTCCTCATTGTAAATAACAGAGAAGAGTTTATTTATTTCTTACCATCTTTCACCAGTGTGAAAGGGCCACATGGGTTTTAGTTCAAGTCCAAATTTGCCCTGGCATTGGATTTAGCTTGTTTTTAGACGCTTCAGCCAAGCCTATTTACATGTGCTTTTATATAGTTCAAGGAGAAAGGATTCTCCCAGGTGTACAAGAGTTGCCGTCATGATTCTTTGGTGGTGGTGTTGAGTACTGTTGAGTTGGTTCCAACTCATAATAGTGATCCTGTGTAAGGTTTTCAAGAAGTGGCTGGTGGGTTTGAACCGCTGACGTTGTCCAGTGCTTATCCTACATCATCACACTAGAACTTCTCATGATTCTTGTTGTTAAGTGCCATCTAGTTGGTTCCAACTCACAGAAACTTTTACGGGAGCAAAAAGTCTCATCTTTCTTCCGTGGAGTGGCTGGTGGGCTCCAACCACAGACCTTGTAGTCTGCAGTCCAGTGCTTAGTGTATGGAGCCACCATGCTGCTTCTTGTGATTCTTAGTCCAACCGAAATTTTGCAAGTTACCACTGGATTGTGTGAGATATGAGTGGGGAGGAATTGGGTCATTTCTTTCTGGAAAGCAACACGCACGCATAGCTGCCTCTTGTCTGGGTCAGAAGAGCTTTTGTAGGGACAGACAGTATTATTATTTCCTTTCATCCATCCATCCACACAACCAGTTGTTCAAAGAGTTATCTGCTGGAGGGCTGCGAAGTGCCAGGTCCCTGCATAAACAGCAGAGAGGCAGGAATGAACAGACACAGGACAGTAACAAGAGGAGGGCATGACCTCGTTGGAGGATCAAGGTGGTTTCTACAGGTAAGGTTGAAGGGATGAGAAAAAGTCAATGAACCAAGAGGAAGAGCATCCCCAATGGTGGAAGCAGCAGGAACAAGAGGCCCCATGGTAGGAGGGGAACTCAAGGAGCTGGTGGGCCAGTGTGACTGGATGGTCAGCAAGTGTGAACAGGTAAAGCCTTGTGTTGAAGGTGACCAGCATTAAGGGTTATCTTTATCCAGAGAGCTTTGTCTGTTTTTTCTTGCCCCTTCCATTCCTTCAGTCTGTAGAAGGTTGTCTGGTATGATGGAAGGAACGTGGCCTTTGAAGCCAGACTTGGGCCTTACTCTCTATGAACTCGGTGTGCTTCCTTATGAGTGGGAGTTCTAAGCATCCCCCCCTTCTACTTTCTGGTCCTCTCCTCAGCTTTCCAAACCAGAGAAGGTCTCTATCCCTGAGCGCTATGTGGAGCTGGACCCTGAAGACCCACCTAGTCTTGAGGAGCTGCAGGCGCGGTATCGCAAAGCTGAGAAGATCCGCAACATCCTTGCCCGGTCAAGGTCAGTCTGGCAGCCCATCAGGCAAACACCAGGGGGTGTCTCAGCGATGTGGGAGTGAGCCCAGCCTCGCTCTCAGGAGCGCCCTGCTCATGGGCAGGGGCAGGCTGGTACTCACCATGTCACAAGCACATCAGTGAGGACACCTGCCTGGGTCATTGGGAAGTGCTGAAAGTACTCACAGAGATCCCCATCCTGCCCCCCTGCACCAAACTCTGTGTCCCCAGTAACCCAGCAGGTGGTCGGAGTGGCACCAACGTGGCAGTGGAGTGTCTGAAGTTGGGAGATCAGCTCCAGGAAGGTCCTCCCAGTGTTAGACCCGCATGCAGACCCAGGCACTTGACCCATTTTCCCATCTCCACAGTAGTCTCCTGTCCCTTCAGCCTCAGTAGCCCTGGAACGGAAACCTGTTGTTTGTAAGCTCCCTTCTACATCTGCATTCAACAGATTTGGAGCTCTAACCTGGGGTCGGTGACCCTCCCAAAAGGGAACAAGGTTGTGAGCTTTGGGGTGTGTGGAGAGAAGCATGTATACCTTTGTCTAGGGAGAAAGACTCGTTTTTCATCTGATGCTCCCGTGAACAGGTTGAGAACTTCCAAGCCAAGGAGAGCCCTGCCCAGCCCCTGACCTGCACTCTTGGGACTGATGGTCAGGGGTGGTCGGAGCTCATAGTCTGTTTTCCGGGCCTCCTGCAGCATGTGCAACCTGCAGCCAGCAACAAGTCAGGACCGGAACAGTGTGGCCGACCTGGACTCGCAGCTGCAGGAGCAGGAACGTATCATCAATATCTCCTACGCCCTGGCCTCCGAGGCCTCCCAGCGCAGCAAGCAGGTAGCAGGTAAGGCCATCGATGAATCCTCCCAGGGCTTCGGGGACCAGAGTCACAGATGTCAGGGTTGGCAGTTGATGGCCACTCATGTGTTCCCCCACAAGCACAACAGGGAGGGCTTGGAGGGTGAAGTGGCAGGCCAGGCATTTGGGGAGACTGTGGGAACCAGAGGAAACAGGTCCCAGGAGCGTCCATTCTGAAATCCAGGACCAGTGCTGCAGTCTAGTCACAGAGGGCTGCTCAGGAACAGCGGTCTGAAGCCCCTGAACCATGGAGGCAAGGTGAAGGTTTCTGACCTCCTGGAGAGAAAGGCCAGAAAAGTCCTTCGTGCTTGAGTTTCTTTCTGGAATAGGAGGGGCCCCTCTCATCTTCCCCGGGACCCCTGCTCAAAACCAAAGGCCTTGTTCACCAAAGGAGACCATGCTTGCCAGAAAGCAGCATTAGGGAGGTGGGACTTTATGCTGTCCAGCGGGATGAATTGCACCCTAGTGTGTGTGTGTTTGTGTATGTGTGTGCACATAGGTGAGTGTGTATGTGTACAGACAAGAATGGAACCCCCCGTGTGCCCTCCGCTGTCTCCCAGCACCATTTCGCCCACTGCCTGTCTGGGTAATTCTGCCAAGTGTGCCATAGGCTTTCTGGGTAATCAGAGACCACTGCCTGTCTGGGTAATTCTGCCAAGTGTGCCGTAGGCTTTCTGGGGAGGGGACAGTCACTGAGTCTGCAATGATATGACACAGTCTCTACCAGCCCCTCCCACCCTGCCAAAGGGTCTACAAGTGTCGAAGGGGAGAGTAGCAGGACCCCGAAGTGACTGACCTTGGGGAGTCTGGCCTGGGGGGCAAAAATGGCTTCCATTTAAGTGGCTGAGGACAAGGGGAGAGCAGGGTCTCAGCAGAAGCCCCCTGGTTCCATCCTGCACACATAGTGACTGAGAGGTGGTCAGTGTGTGCTGGTCTGTGGCTGAGGAGACCCCCTCCACCTAATGATTTGGGGACTTCCTGACCCAGCGCAGCCACTTCCGAGATGCTCCCTCCGCACAGCACCCTCCTCTCTCACCTGTGCTTGCTCTAACTCTCGGGGTCTGTCGTCCTCGCCTTCCTAACCACCAGCCCAGAGCACGCTCAGACCCACTACCCTGCGGTCAGTTAGCAGGGCCTCCCTCACCTCCCTGCTGAGGGACAGCCCTTTGGCAGCCTGACGCCACTCTTGCTCCCACACTCCGTCTCAGAGACAGAGCTGGGACTGCGGATCACTGCTCATGGAGGGGCGTCTGGAGCTCCCGGAGCAGATGGGGGGTCTAACACACACTTAATTCCTGTGTGCCTGTCTAGCGCAGCAGCTGGCCCTCCTCCCGCCTAAAGCCCCTCTGTCCTCCAGGCCGGTGCCACCTTACCCCCCTTTAAGCAACGGACTCCACTACACCTTTGTCTAACACCTGCCAAGTAAGAGACTGTGCCGCATGCCCCCTGTGCTGCTCACTGCCCCTCGCCTAGTGCTGAGCATGCCCCTTCCCCCTCCCCTCCCCACATCTGAGAGCATTACAGTGCCGCCCCCCCCCCCCTTCCACTGGCAAAGCGGCCGCTGGGAAGACAGACTCGAGCTTCAGCGGGTGAAGACTGATGCTTTACAGGAATTCAGTCCTCAGTGGCTCTGATACAATGCTGCATGTGATCTAGGCCTCCTGCCTACCAGAAACCCTCCAGGCCAGAACTGTACTTCTCACCCCCAGCTCTCTTCCCTCTGCGACCGGGGCAGGCCAGCCTCGGGGGTTTGGAGAAGAGGGGCTTGGGTCTTGGCCTCTTGGGACTGATTTAACAGATGAGGAAACTGAGGCCTGGCGAGGACATGGGGCTTCCCTGAGCTCACTCAGTGAGTGGTGTTAGAGCAAGAGCTGGACCTGCCCTTTTCGTGGCTTGTGCACCTTATAAGGGAGAGAGAAGAAATTTCAGGGCAATGTGAACATGCCTCCTAGTCAGTCAGAATGGTCTAGCACCAACTCTGTCAAATCCTCCCCAGGGAATGTTTGGTGATGAGAGGGTTACAGAGGGACGTCAGGAGGGCTGATACCTAATAGTCTGTGATGGGGGAGTCCTTGGCCCGGATCCTGGACTGAAAAGGGTTAGATCACAGGTCCCCGCAGTCCTTTCCCTGATATTTCATCTCCTTCTTCCTCCTTTTATGTACACTTGTGATTAAGTAAGTTGTTAGCAACCACTGGCCTGTCAGTTTGTCGTACTTTGGTGGCTTGCATGTTGCCGTGATACAGGAAGCTAGGCCACTGGTATTTCAAACATCAGCAGGTTCACCCATGGCAGACAGGGTTCAGTTGAGTTTCCAGACTAAAGTCAGACTAGGAAGAAAAGCCTGAGAATCTCCTCCTGGAAATTGATCACAACAACATACTGTCGAATATAATGCTGGAAGGTGAGCCCCCTTTGGAAGGCACTCACAATGTACAACAGCTACAACACTGTACTCAAATTCCAGCGAGGGTGAGGGTGGCACCGAACCCGACGACATTTCCTGATGTCCTGTATCAGGTCGCTTTGAGTTGGAGCCAACTTAATGGCAACTAATGACAACATTGCCAAGTACCTCCTGTGACCCACACAACCACCTGAGGAAGCGAGCAGCTCCCCTTTGACAATGAGCAAATAGAATTCAGAGACCTTGGACTTGTCCAAGGGGTTGGCACTTCTCAGTGTCAGAGCCAGGATTTGAACCTTTTCTGTGTGAGTCCAGAGATTCTGTCTTAAGGATCTACTCCTGGGCTAGTTTGGACCACACCTAGAAGCTAGAGATAGGTGTTTGGAGAAGAGTGTGAAATGACGGCCTGTAAGTGTGTGTGTTTTGGGGGGAAGGGTGCCCACCAGGATGCACCCCAGCCTCAGAGCAGAATTGGCTGGCCCCTGCCCCTGCATAGGGTGGGAGGGAGGTGTGGAGAAGAGACCCCATCGCTGAAGAACCACAGCGGGGTCGTTGTAAAGGCCACAGGGATCCTGCCGGGGTCGCAGTCGGGTTAAGGTTTTCTCCTAGAAATCCAAGCATGGTGCTACTGCCCAGGGCACAGAGGGGGCACTACCCCTCCTGACTTTTGCTGTGGCAGCTAGGCCTGAGTCCTCCTTTGGAACACAGTCACACTTCCTCTGGGTCTCCCAGCATACTCAGTAGAAGGTGGCTATAATCAGTCTTTCAGATTAGAGAAACTGAGGCAGGGCCAGAATTGGAACCAGAGTCCACTTTGCTAAGGTGAGGGAGGGTAGGACAAGCAGCCATGCACCCGAGGAACCCGGGTCCCTCCATGGCGGCCGCGTTGCCCAGTCCCCTGCTGTGCTGCTCTCTGTTAGCTGTCTGTCATTCCCTGTCACACGTGTGCACAGACATGCCCACCACCCACTCCCCAGATGTGGGCAGGGGTCTTGCCGGCGTCTCACTGTCTTCTGTGCTTCTTGCTAGCCCAGGCGGTGACTGATCCATGACCCGCTGTGCAGAGAAGCCTGGAGCCAGCTTCCTCCCAGGAAATGGATCTTTCTGCCCCCAAGGAAGCCCCTTTCACCTGCGGGGAGTTCTGGCTGGAGGAAGGCGGAGCCCACCAATTCTGGGGCGTTCACCATAGGGCTAGATCTTAACACACACACACCCAACTTGTTCTAGTTCAGACTCCTTTTTACATCTGACAGAGGCACTTTTAATACACACTGTAAAATACTGACACTGCATTTTAGAATCAGTCTATTTTATAACATTAACTTCAAAGGGCTGAGTGGCTGGAAAGAGGAGACGACAGGATGTCATAGCTGCCTGTACAGAATCGGGGTGGCCGGTATGAGTGGGAGAGAAGGCAGGGCAAGCAGAGCCCTGTCCAGCTTCGGATGAACTCAGGTAAAAGTTGGATTTGGGAATGTGTTTCCAGTGGATTCAACTGTTGGCTGGTTGGTGTGCTGTCTGGCTGGCCTAGCTGGATGACCAGCTCTATGCGACACTCCACTCAGACAGCACAGGGATGGTCATTGGGCTTGGTTTAGGGCCAAGTTTGTTCAAGAGCTGTGGGCTCCCCAACCCACCCATGAGGCGTTCTCAGCAAAGAGCTCTTTGCAGAAAGAAAAGAGCAGTTTGCTTTAATTTTTAAAAAGACAGTTCGGAATACAGAAAAGGTGACAGGAAGCGACTTTCATTGTATCATGAGCAATAAACTTCACGCATCTGCCTAGAAATCCCCGAGCATCAGGACCTCGATGGCAAGACTTTGGCAGGACTTCCAGCCCATGAGATGAGGGGGCCAAGCCAGTCCCAATGTTTGTACCCCTTTATTCATGTCATGCCCCTCTGAGAGCCTACATACAGAAAATGGTGTTTAAAAGGAAAAACAAAACAAAAACCTCCATGGGGTGGAGCCACACTGGAAATGAAAATTTGTCTTTGACTATGCGCTGGAAAGGGGGGAAAATTCTCAAAATATATTTAGAAGTTGCCGTCTATTTATAACTAATTCCAAATGCTGCCAGTATCGACTTCATGACATTTGCCAAAATAAAATTTTATTTTTGCCTTTATAAGATTTTGTGGGGAAAATGAAATGAATATTTTGCAAGAAAAAGTTAATTTAAATAAAAGTGTAATGGTTTGCAAAAAACAAAAGCAAAAGTGATGTATAGATTAAAATATTAATCTGGTCTGCTTTCTTCTGCTTCTTGGTGAGTGGCCTGGCTTCATTTCTTCCGAAAATTCCCACTGTCTTCATCATGCCTGTACTACTTATGAAAAGTTCCTCCCGATTACAGTTCTTTGTCACTTGGTTGCCTTGGAGGCCTGGGGAAGGAAACCTGTGTTCCTAGGCTCTTGGCTGGGCTCCTGCAGCTGCTCAGGGTGGCCCCCACCCCACCCCACCCCTGCCGGGGAGCTGCCTGGCTGCAGACTCTCATGTGGGGCTGGTTTGGCAGGCCAGCTGCAATCCAGATAGCACTGGGGGGCACTGTGGCCCTCTTCCAACCCACATGCTGCCTGCCCGTTCCAGTGAGGAGAGTCAATGACAGTCCCTGGCAAACTGGATTTGCCTTTAATTCATGTTGACTTGTGATTTATGCGTCACACGGACGGCAGGAGGCCAGTTCAGGTTAGGAATGCGGCTCCTTCCAAGTGTGTTGTCATGGCTATTTTTCTCCATTGCCAAGATGAGCACCCGAGGTTTAGAGCGGCTTTCCAACTATTTAAAGTAGGAGAAATTGTTTCCAAGGCCTTCTGAACAGGGGAGACTGCTGCTTTTTTAGCTACTGGTGTCGTTTTGAATTTTAAAATAAAGAGTGCTGTCTGATTTGAAGCATCATTTGGAGTTGAGTCTCCATAACAGATGAAAGAGGAGGGACAAAGGGGTTCCGTAATGGCGCACAGTCCCTCCCTGCTGCCCCCACTCCAAAAAAACAAAAAAACACACAAGGCAATACCCGTCACACAGGGTGGCTATCTGCAGACACTGTAAGGGTGAAAACATCAGCCAGTGGTCTCCTTACTGTTGATCTCCGTCTTTATTTTACACACACAATCCCTGCGTAGCTACCGCCTCCAAGGGTATTCAATCGGAGGAGGGTGCCGCCTGTTCTCAAGAATCCGGCCCAGATTTTGGTCTACAGAGAGCATGGCAGGCCCTCAACTCCGACTCCATGAAAGGTATGTATGTCCCAGCTACTTTACCGGGAAGCAGGACCCATGACTCAGCCCTCTCAAGAAGAGCTGGGTTCCCTTAGGTAAGCAGGGCCATCTATGAAGTACTGGCTGGCCATGGACCCTATGGGATCGGGACAACTCTGGGAGACGGGGTCCAGTTATTCTAGCTTCAGTTGCTTACAGAACTCTAAAGAGTGGGATTGTCGTTGATGATTGAAAAATGGACATTCTTCTTCCTCCATTTGATGGTATTCACTCAATCTCTAACTCAAACCCAGGCCCATTCCCAGGATGTCTACCTAATTTTAGCAGGAGCCATCAAGGACATTTTAAGATCTGGTATAAAATGGGGGTTGAGAATAAAATATTTTCCTAATCTCAACATGTACCTCCCAAAGGGCCAAGTTCTCAACATGTCTAGGCTGTTGTTTATGAATTAAGTGATTTATGTTGAAATGTGTGTCTATTTTGTGAGTACATATGAAGGAGATATGTGCAGATATTTCATTTTCTTCCCATCATTACTTTTTCTGTTTGTCTTGATGTCTCACTATGGGAGGGTAAATTGCATTTAGCCATTCTCCTCCCTCTGATCCAGCCTGCCTTTCTTGAAATTTGGTTACCTTCAGGTCAGCTGAGATCTCTAGAATTTTCCTCAGTAGGTTACAGAGTCCTGGTATGGTACTGTGGGTTAATGTACTGGACTGCAAGGTTGGTTTGAACTGCAAGGTCTGCGGTTCAAGCTCACCAGTAGCTCCTTGGAAACCCTATTCAGTGCCACTATGAGTTGGAACCGACTCGACAGCATTTAAACAACATTGTAGGTTACAGTCCAATGATGGGTACACACTATCTGCTACCAAATCACTCATTCTCCAAGGACCCAGAAGGCTTTCTTTGTCTACTTGGGACTGGAGGCAGAGGGCAGGCAGGCCCTGACTCAGCTACACAGGAGCCCATTTGGGGTTTTGGAAATTTCCCACAACCACATGGAGTACTTGCTGCTCCATGGTGAGTCCTTTTGTGTTCTCACCAAGGGTGAGAAAAGAGAAGCAAATTATTTATCTAATCCACAAATCACATTTCTGAGACATGCATGGCAGGCAAATGCTGGGAGACCCTGCTTCCTATTCAGCAGCAGACGCTAGGGTATGTGATAGACTTTGCCCATGTGAGTTGCACACTGTTATGAAAAGAACAAAGAGATGGGGAGCTGAGGAAGACATGAAAAATGGCAGCCCCTCCCCACCCAGTAAACATGCCATTGCTTTGCTGCCTCCACTCAAAAGGCTACCTCTTTCATTGCTCTCCCAGCAAAGAAACCTTTCTTCAGAGCTAGTGGTGGGGTACAAAGGCAAAGTACAAAATGTGTGCACATCACAGTCCCCGTAATTCTGTTTGAACAAGCGTATTGATTGGGTCTGACCCTGTTACATTTTTTCCCTATTATTTGAAAAGGTGCATCTAAGTGTAGTGAATTGAACTGGCGGAGCTGAACTTTCCATGAAAACTCATCGAGGTATTTCTTTAGTTCAAAGCGTTTGAATTTTAAAGGGCATTTTTAATATGAGTCTGTTGAGTATTCTCTTCCAAGGCCCAACAAGAGATGTTCAATGCAGATGAGCCTGGAGAGAGGGCTAACGGGTGGGGGTGGACAGGCCCGCAAGGGGGGGGGGGTCTGGGTGGTGGCTGGGGGGCACCTACCATTAGGGGAAATCCATGGTTTGGGAGGGAGGCCAACCTCCAGGATTTGGAGAAGTCGACGTAGAAACAATCCTAAGAAACTACCTGTTTGAGCTCACTGGGAATCGCTTAGGGGGTAAGGACGTGGCTGCCCAGATGGATCTCTTTGGCATAGACAAGGGTTCTGTCCTCACTCACCCTCATAGTCTGCTTTGAGACTGGGATGGAAAGAGAGGCAAAGTCCCTTGACTGAGGTCAGAGTTGGCAAAAGCTGTCTTAACTGCCCTCTACGGCACACTCCCTGGGCTGATGTCACACATCATTGGCAGTGGTTTTCCCACTGGGCCCTGACCTGCATCTCAGTCCTTAACTGATCTGACACCTTTTGCTTGTGTAGGCCGTGGTCTTAGCAGTGGTCCATCTTGCCACCCTGGCCCAAGGCCTTGAGAGCCTTCACAAAGCCTCCATCTCCCCATGAATGAGGTTCTCCAGATGTGCTCAACGTTCACAGCCCCGGGAACTCTTGGCCCAAGTCTGTACCTTTGGGGGCCTCTTAGTCTAGAAAGCACCCCCTTCCTAGACTCAGAGTTTGTGTTCAAAGGCAGAACCATCCTTGAGAAGCTGGACAATCAGGACTTCTGCCAAAAGAACCCAGATGTGGGCATCTCAGCATAATCCTTTTTGTCTTTGCCAATCTCCAGCTTCACAGAGTCAATGTAAGGTGAGAATCACAGTAATAAAACAGTTCTCTGGGTCCACCTTTGGCCCACAATTGTAAGAACACTAACCCCCTTCAGATTCTTCCCTGCTTGACCTGAAGTATTTCACATAAACTCTGACATGAAGGGTATTGTTTGTCTTGTTCACTGTATTATCCCCTAGTGCCTAAACAATGTGTACCACATATAACATGCTAACAAATCCTTTATTAAACGAATGAGTGAAGGGCCCAGGAGGCTTTTTTTGTCTACTTGGGATCGGAGGTGGAGATTTAAACAGACCTGACTCAGCCAGATGGGAGCCTATTTGGAGTTCTGAAGTTTCCCACAACCCCAATAGAAGTTAAGGCCAGTTGGCAGGGAGCTGTTTCTCTTGTTTCGATGGCTTTGCCTGTAAATGCTATGATCTGTTGGTT